AAATGCATTTTCTACGATAACTTGAAGGGATAGGTAAAAAATGGTATAATACAATTTGATAGACAATTTAATTGGGCATCTGATTCTCCTAAAATATACAGGGCATTCCATTTAAATTAAAGAAGTTATTGCCGTTTGAAGCTAATAATTATTTTAAATAAATTTTTAGACACTCTGTATAAGGTAGTATTATTTTTATTATTGCAACACAATAACTGATCAATAAATAAACTTCATTAAATATTAGTATTAAAAAACATTGATACCCTTTGGAGAAATGAAGCTTTTAAAATTTTTACTGCAATTTCACAAAAATTGAAAATATTTCTTTAAAAACGGTAGGTTTACATAATAAACTTAATCAAATTTACCTTATTTTAATCGTAGAAACTAAAATGTAATAATATACAGGGTAAGTTCCATTTAAAAAAATACAACTTTGATATTTTTTATTTATTTGGGACACTCTGTATCTTGTAAAAATATTTTTAAATTGTAGCTCTAATAGTCCTTCAACGAACCCCAAACTTATAATTTGTAAAAATCTCATCGTTTAGCTACAATACTCCGTGTCGTATGTGGTGAACAACCCTGTATACCTTGCCCTTTTTATATAAGCATAATACATTTTTCTTGCTACACTATTTTTGACAATAAGTCGTAAACTTTCTTGTACCTATCTAAGAAAAATATTATTTTATGATGGATATTTAATCATTAGAATTTGTGAAACTAATCTATTTGCTATCTGTATATGTTAGTTCTTTAGAAACAAATCTTGTCTTCTTATTCAGTATTTAAAAAAAAAAACATAAATCTACTGCCCTGATACTGTATGATCGAAAAAAAAACGGCGTCAGCGATGGCTATGCAGGCTATGAAATGAAGATCGCCGTAATTTTATACGTAAGATTATACAGGGTGGCCCATCGAAAACGTTCCGCAAGATATAACGGCCAGGAAATTTTTTTTTTCAAAAAATCCAAAAACACGTCAATTTTGTTTGTGAGGGGGACAACTTTTGCCCCAAAAATGATTGCAAAATTTTCAACCCTCTAAGCGGGGGTGTCATCCCCCAACTTTTTCAAATGGGAAGGGGGGTCAAGTGACGCCGCAATGAAAAGAGCTTTCTATTCTCTATATTTCCCCACTTTGTTTTTGAAAATCGGTCGAGTCATTGAGAAAATATGAAGAATTGAAATATGAAAAGTTGATTTAAACATTTATCAGAGTAAATGATAAAGATAAATTCCTTCGACCAATTTGCTGTTTTTTCTTATTATTTCTAGATGTTTACGCATTTTTTCACTTGCCACAAGGTTGAACGATTAGTTGCGGTCTCAATATCGTTAAACTGACCTACAATCGAATTTCCAAAAATACCAGCCCGCGACGATCAAAATCGTCTTCGTTGAGTTCTTGTACCAACTGAATTTTGTACGGATGGAACTTGTGTTTTTTTAATATCGTTTGGACACTTGTACGATTCACGCCGGTCGCGGTCTCATTGGCTAATTTTCTTGTACTCAGGGTACTACCCAAGTAGAGGTAGATGGCCGATTCACCATCAGGAGCAGGAGCAGAGCGCACAGCGCATGCGCGTAAATCAGCTAGGAACATGTAAAATAGGCTAATAAACAAGAATAAACGGGTTTGAACCGCTTTTGAACAGCTTTGAACAGGTTTGAACAAAAACTGAACAGGTCTGTTGTTTTACGCTAAAAAGCCGTTCAAAGCTGTTCAAAAGCGGTTCAAAGCGGTTCAAACCCGTTTATTCTTGTTTATTAGCCTATTTTACATGTTCCTAGCTGATTTACGCGCATGCGCTGTGCGCTCTGCTCCTGCTCCTGATGGTGAATCGGCCATCTACCTCTACTTACCCATGGTAACTTGGCCCAATACGAATACCTCCATAGCTTCATTTCCATAGCACAAGTCACAGAACAGCTATCTAGCAACTACCGCACCTGATCGTTCAACCTGTATAGGGAATGTGATCGATTGTAATTTCCAAGCAGACTAGACGCCGGTTTTTTTTCGATCATATGGTATTACGAAAATATATTTTCTCAAACTTTTTAGCTTCATTTCCATACAGTTGTGTGTACCTTCTCTGGTACAAAATGCGTCCAAATGTCCTAAAATATTCTAAAGTAACCGCGACAAACGGGATTACTTTAGGACAACTTTAAAGTGCAATAACTAAAATACTGAAAAATATTTATATAAACTTTTTTTCATATTTTCACAATATTGAAGTTCCCGCGCAATAGGCTACCCTGTATATTTTAAAATACACACAACAAAACTTATATGGAATCACTCTTATATTCTGACTAAATTTCTGGCAAGGATAAAAATTGGTATACAACTTTTTGTATACCAATTTGTTTTAAATAAACATGATAATAAAGAATAAACGACTGCTGCGATTTATTTTCTTTTAAATTTTGTGTTTAGCAGTCACACAAATCACAATTGTCCGGTAATTTTCATTCGATCCAAAAAAATTAAAAAATGCCTTATGTTGGATTAACAGTTGTATAGAGGGAAAGAATTATTGCTCTCACCGAAGAAGGCATGCATGCTCCAAAGAGACGTAGCATAGATAGTAGGCGTTACCCAGCGTGTTGTATCGAAAACATATGCAAGGTACTTGGAATTAGGAACACCCAAAGATAGGCCCAGACAAAGTCGTCAAAGAGTCACAACAGAACAATATTGTGTGCCAAATTGCTAGAATAAATCGCAATGTTTCTCATCCAGAGCTGCAAAGACAACTTCTGGCAGCTACAAGTTTGAACGTTTCAGTTGAAACCATAAGCAAAAGGCTTCGTGCTCGAGGGTTTTACAGTAAAAGAGAGTTACGGATCCGACAGTTATCTCGGCAAAATAAAATTGACCGGTTAAATTGATGCCTTCAACATCAAAACTTGACAACTGAGAATTGGCAAAATGTTCATATTCCGGATGAAACCAGAATTAACCTTAGATCAGATAACTATCGAATTCGGGTTCTCAGAGCTCCAGGAAGACGAGCAAGACTTCAGGCTGCCAGATCTGTACCAAAATATAAAGGAGGAACTGTAATGTTCTGGGGAGGTATAATACTGGGAGCAAAAACTCCATTGTTACCACTTCAAAAAACTTTGACGGGTCGGAGACATGTTGATTTGGTGATGGCAGGAATTGTTAGTCTTGGAAGAGCTGTAATTGGAGATAATTTTAACTTCTTGTACGATAGTGCACCTCCCTATACCAGCAGAGTGACTAGAGAATGTCTTGAAACGGAAGATGTCATAGTTTTGGACTGGCCTGCATGTTCACCAGATCTAAACCCTATCGAACACTTGTGGGACTAGCTCAAAAGAAGGGTTAGAGCTCGTCGAAACAATCCAAGAAATCTTGCACAGCTTATTGATGCAGCATTGGCAGAATGGGAAAACATATACCCCAAGACAACGTTGATAATTTAATAAAAAGCATGCCAGTGCGGATAGAAGCTTGCATAAGGGCTAGAGGTGGCAACAAGGAATATTAAAATTATCAATTGTCTTTTTGTTTTACTTTTTGGTCATTAAAAATTTAAATCTTAATTTCGTTTCAGAAACCAAAAAAATACCATTTTGTTTATTTTCCGAACTGATTTTTTTGAAACGGAGTTTTATTCATAAACACAAAATTTTCGTATATGTATATATATATATATATTGCGGATTTTTACGACATTCGTCGTCTCCCGCTTCTCAACGTCCACAGATTTCTGTCTGTCCAGTCTTCTTCCTGGAGGCCTCTAGAATTCATAGCGTCAACTACGCCCTGCTTCCATCTTCGAGGTGGTCTTCCACGTTTCCGCCTTTCGCTTGGTGTCCATGAATGAATTCTTTTCGGCCATCGGTTATCATCCATTCGTTGGATGTGTCCGTACCAACTTAGTATTTTGCCGTCAATGGCGTCGAGAATAGTTTCTTTTTCTCCTATAATTTCTCGTATTCTTTGATTTGAGATGTGTTCCAATCTTGAAATGCGACAACTTCTTCGCCAAAAATCCATTTCAAGAGACAGCAACTTATTTTTCTCTAATTTGTTTAGCTCCCACGTTTCAGCGCCATAAGTGGTAATGCTCTCTACAATGGCTTTATAAAGTAGAATTTTTGTTTTTTGGGAAATTTTGTCACTCCACAACAACCGATAACTCTTTTTCCTTGACCAACTTTATTTGCAATATCTTGAGTGCTTTTTCCATTTGTTGTAAAAGTGACGCCCAAGTATTTAAATGTACAGACATTTTTGATTGTGCCGATTCCTACATCCAAATCCTCACGTTCGTCATCACCCACTACCATATACTCCGTCTTCTTTGTGTTTATTGTTAGGCCCCATTTCGAATATTCCTCATGCAGTTTTCTAAACGTATAACTGGAGTCGTCTCTGTCTCCCGCTATCAAGACCTGGTCGTCGCCAAAGAGTAAGGTATATAAAGTGTCTTTTCCTACTGGGATTCCCATTCCACGGCATTTCATCTTCCAACACTTCAGTATTTCCTCCAAATATACTTTAAATAAAGTTGGTGCTAATGAACACCCTTGTCTTAAGCCCTTATTCACAAGAAATTCTTGGGAAAATTGTTTCCAAGTTTAACTGTGCTACTGCAACCCTCGTATAATTTTCTTGTTGCTTGGACATACCAACTACTGATACCAAAATTTTGCATTGACACCCACAACTTACTCAGTGAGACTGTATCGTATGCCTTCTGTAGATCAATAAATGTCAAGTGGACCGTCCTTCCCCTTTCTAGCCTTTTTTCGATTAGATGCTTAAGAGTGAAAATGCCATCAGTACATGAGCGTCCGGGTCTAAAATCATTTTGCTCTTCCGATTCCGTTATTTGTGCTTCTATCTTATGTTTTAGTACTTTGCCATAGAGTCGAGCAACAGTACAAATGACACTAATTCTTCTATAATTTTCACAGTCGCGTCGGCTCCCTTTCTTAAATATGGACGTAATAATCGCTTTTTTCCATTCTTTGGGCGGGTCTTCTCCATTTAAACATCTACTAAAAATATCTGCCAGAATTTCCAAAACTGCTGAGGGGGCAGCCTTTAAAAGTTCTACTGAAACATTTCCCAAACCTGGGGCTTTGCCATTTTTCATTGTTTGTTCAACAAAATTTTCATACATCTGAAAAATTATGAAAAATAAATAGATGATTCCATATAAGTTTGGTTGTGTGTACACTAAAAAGTTTATGATTAAATACAATATTAGATTAATGTACTAGTCACAAGAAAACCATAAGCTATGGGGTGGAAGGTTTGCTGGTAAAACCGATCCACAGCTGGAAAAGCTGAATTGTTCTTTGGACCTGGACAAGAGAATGTACGCAGAAGATATAGAAGGAAGCAAAGCGTACGCACAAAGTTTGAAACATATCAATCTATTAACTGAGAGCGAAGCTAATAGCATTTGCGAAGGTCTGGATAAAATTAAAATTGAATGGGGCACAAATGAATTTGTTATTAAACCAGGTGAAGAAGATATACATACTACAAATGAAAGAAGATTGAAAGTAGGTACAAAATAAATTGCAATCAGTTTTTAGGGTTCCGTACCCAAAGGGTAAAAACGGGAAACCTATTACTAAGACTTCGTATGGACTTCGTTGCCCGTCCGTCCGTCTGTCACAAAGGTCTATCTTATGAACCGTTATAGCTAGACAGTTGAAATTTTTACAGATAATGTATCTATATTGCCGCTGTAAGAACAAATACTAAAAACAGAATTAAATAAATGTTTATAAATAAAAAAGTTGAATAAATGTTTTAAAATAGTAACAGAATAGTAAGTTTTTTAGTTTAAAAATTAGTTTTTTTATTTACTCCATTATCTTCCTTATTACACGATAAACAACATTTTATAGGATGACATGATTTAACATTGGTTTTAATTAACATTTTTCCATTTTACTCACTAAAGTAAGTAGCAGGCTATGGAAAAACACGGATTACCAGTAAATGTCAAATAGAGATGCTTGTTGTCAGTGTCAGTCGTTTTCGTCAGAATTAAATAAATTATTTTAATAGTAGTAAATAGTAACAGAATTAAATAAATGTTTATAAATAAATAATGTTTATAAATAAAAAAGTACTTTCACTAAACATTATCTTTTAAGTAAGAATTTTACATAGAATCTTTCAAGTCCTCGGTGGCCGCGTGGTTTAAAGCGTTAGGACTTTACGCTGCTATGACGTTGGAGCCGTAGTAAGGCAGGTTCGAATCCTAGTCAAGGCGACTTTTTTTAATCCTTTTTTTTATTTTTACATATTTTTACATATTTATTTTTACTTTTTACATATTTTTTATTGATTAATACAATTTTTAGTAATGTGTTTCTTCATTTTTTTTTAAATTACTTATACGTGCATTCAAAATTTCAGCTAAATCGGAAAAAAGTTTATAAAAATATAGTGTCTAACGTTGTATAGATAATGAATGGTACGGAACCCTTCGTGTGCGAGTCCGACTCGCACTTGACCAGTTTTTTAATTAATTATTTAATTTTATTAGGAAATTATTGGGGAACCAGCAACGAAGCTTCATGTCGGTAGGAGTCGAAATGATCAAGTTACAACTGACATGAAACTGTGGCTAAAGAGCAACTTAAAAAATCTACAGGAAAAGGTTTGTGAATTGATAGAGGTGATTGTTAAAAGATCACTAAAGGAGATTGATGTGATAATGCCTGGATACACGCATCTTCAACGTGCTCAGCCAGTTAGGTGGAGCCATTATTTGTTAAGGTAGGCAATAATAGTTACACACGCACACATACAGTTATACAGGGCGGCGCACCTCATTCGCCTCGGTTGATTATACGAAAACGGAAAGATGCACAATATGAGACAATATGCACAATTTAAAATTATCTTGAAATATACTGGGTGTTTCAGAACTAAGATCCATCCAAAGTTATATTTTTTCTTATGGAACACCCGGTATTTTATTTCATTTTTGGATTATTGGACATAAAATAAAGCATTTATTATAAGGGTCTATTAATATGCCTAAAATCTTTAGTTTTTGTGATATTTTAAGGTATTTAAATTTGCATGCTACTATAAATTAGATTATTAACAGCCTGTACATTAATTTTCAGAATTAATTCTTGTGCTGATTTTGAAGCCAGAGAAATAAACTTTACTGAAAAACGGTATTGCTTTCTTAAATGTATACAGGGCTACCAAAAGTTGCTGATCTATTTTAAGGATATATTTTATATAAAAACTTCATTATTTCAAATGCAACACCCTGTATTTTTCAAAATAAATCGGAACCAGATTCAAATGCTCTTTCAAACTGTATTAAGGTTTCCTATACCTATCTAGCTCAGATTTTGAATAAAAAGCGATTTTTAAATAAAATTGCATTCAAGATGGCTTGTGTCGCCATGGTAATTTTCTAGTGACAGTTAGTAACTATTTTCAAAGTCGACATTAGGTTATGGACATTATTATTTATAATTTATAACAATTTACTTAAATGTACCTACAATAGTTTAATAAGTAAGTATTCATTATTTTATCAAGAAAAATAAAGCAGTATCTGCTGGCGGAACGAATAGATATATTTACTAGTGATTTTATTTTGTGGGAAAAATTGCTTCTTGGCCTCAAGGGCTTATGCTCAAAGATATCCAAATAGGAATCTTCCTGATAAGCGTTCCTTTGAAAAACTACTAGTCCTATTTCGCAGAGCTGGTAGTGTGGTTTATAAAAAACCTATTAGGCAGAAACCTGTGAAGTGAAGAAAATGAATTTGCCGTAATTGGCTCTTTTACAGAAAATCCATTTCAAAATGCATATCACAAGTCATCGAAAAATAAATTAAAGAACCACTTTTTCGTTTTTCTTGATAGAATAATAAATATTATTTATTTAACTAATGTAGGTAAATTTAATAAAAGTAAACCGGTATAAAATAAGCCCATAAACTAATTTCGGTTTTGAAAATAGCTACTAACTGACGACACGCCCTGACGACACTAGCCCTCTTAGTTACCATTTTATTGAAAAATTGCTCTTTCTCAAAATTTGAGCTAGACAGGTATAGGAAACCCTAATATAGTTTGAAAGAGCATTTGAACCTGCTTCGATTTATATAAAAAAATACAGGGTGTTGTGTTTGAAGTAACAAAGTTTTTATGCAAAATAAATTCTTAAAATAGATCAGCAATTTCTGATACCCCTGTATAAATTTAAGGAAGCAATAACATTTTTCTGTAAAGTTTACTTCTCTACCTTTAAAATCAGCACAAGAATTAATTCTGAAAAGTAATGTACAGGGTGTTAATAATCTATTTTATAGTAGCATGCAAATTTAAATATCTTAAAATATCTCAAAAACCAAAGATTTTAAACATATTTAACCCTTATAATAAATGCCTTTTTTGGACCGAAGAATCCAAAAATGAAATAAAATACCGGGTGATCCATAAGAACAAATATAACTTTGGTATGGATCTTAGTTCTGAAACACCCTGTATGTTTCAAAATAATTTTAAATTATGCACATTGCCTCCTCGCATACACCCGTAAAATATTTTGGTTTTTACATCTTTCCGTTTTTGTATAATCAACCGAGGCGAATGAGATGCACCACCATGTACAGGGTACATGGTGGTGCATCTCATAACATGGTATGCCTCTCGTACGCCGCGAAAGCTCCAAGGAGAACGGTAGTTTATATCGAAATGAAATTTTGGCAGCATATGTAGGTTAACTGAAAGCATTTAATAAAAATATATAGAATTATACAGGGTGTCCCCAAAAAAAGTTACACATCAAAGTTTTGTTTTTTCTAATGGAACACCCTATATATTAATTGATTTTCGGATTCTGGAAAAAAATAAAGGTGAGTTTTATTAAAGAAGCATATACCTCAAATCTAAGGATTTTGATATATTTCACATTTTGTGAAAATCAAGAGTAAATTTTAAATTTCGATAACAGCTACCTAAATTTTAGTTGACCTTGTATAGCCTGATATTTAATTACAGTAACCATTGTATGTTAAAACAAATTGAAATTTAACCCGAAAAGTTATACAGGGTGAGACAAAATTAATATGGAACATTAGTACTTTACAAAGCAAGTTACTCCTTTATTTTAAATGGAACACCCAGTATATTTTTCCGGTGTTCAATGGGGAATTTATATATCTTCAAAAAACTATTAAGGTTGCCTACCCCTCAGACAAAGATTTTCCCAGATATTTTAATTTTTATGATTTTGCGTCAGCAAATCTTTATTATTTGAAAAAATCTAGGTGGCTGTGTGATATACCTTTTATTAATTTAACAAAAATTAAAGATTGTGGAGTAAAAAACTCAAGGGTAATAAAAAATACACGTTTAAAACATATTTTAATTATTACAGAATTAAAACTAGATATAAACCTATAATATTGTGCGACAAAAATTAGCTGGATGAAATCAAATGCTCAAAATGCTTCCTTTCCTGTTAACTGCATAAAATGATTGTATTTTCAAAAGGATCTTTTCATTTTAAAAGGCATTATGTGGAGTTCTACCTGATAAAGCAGCTACAATAATTTATCTCATGCTGTCGACACTAGTTGGTCGAGCTTTTTAAACACTGTCTTTAACATATCCCCATAAAAAAACTCAGACTAGATAAAATCAGGAGCATTTAATTATTCTATTAATTGGTAAATGCACACTGCATTCACCAACTAATAGAATTATCAATCAATTCTTTCTGATGGTTCTGAATCATATCAATTCTTTCGCCTGGTAAGTTTGCATTTTCGCAAATTCCTGAGAATATTTTTTTTGTTTTAACTGACAAAAAATTATAACTAGTTATTAAAGTTGAACTAATTAGACAGCTATGTTGAAGACGTCAGACATATCACAGCCACCTAGGTTTTATCAAATAATAAAGATCTACTCAGATCAAATCATGTAAATGAAAATATCTAGGAAAATCTTTGTTTGAGGGGTAGGCAACCTTAATAGTATTTTGAAGACACAGGAATTCTCCTTTAAATGTCGGAATAATATACTGGGTGTTCCATTTAAAATAAGAGAGTAACATGCTTTTAAAGGTGACCAATGTTCAATATTAATTTTGTCTCACCCTGTATAACTTTTTGGGTCAAGTTTTAATTTGATTTAAAGTAGAATAGTTAGTTTAACTACATATTAGGCTACACCAGGTAAATTCCATTTAGGTAGCTTTTATTGTAATTTAAAAATTGTTCTTTATTTCTAGAAAATGTTAAATATGTCAAAAACCTTACATTTTAGTCATATACTTCTCTTATAAAACTCACCTTTATTTTTCTCCTAGAATCCGAAAATCAATTAATATACAGGGTGTTCCATTACAAAAAACACAACTTTGATATGAAACTTTTTTGTTCATACACACCGTTGACACCCTGTAGAACTCTCTATATTTTTAAAAAGTGCCCTGAATTAACCTACATATGCTCACAAAATTTCATTTCAATACAAACTGTCGTTCTCCTTGGAGCCTCCGCGGCGTATGAGAGGCGCCACCCTGTATATTAAGTAAAACAGTGACACGTGTTTCGTTCATACGAGCATCATCAGACAAATACAATAAAACTCAATCCACACACACGTTCACATTTTACATATTAAAACAACAATTGTTGTTAGACAATTATTGTTATATGTTTTTGATCTAAAAATAAAAAAAAACAAATTTTCAAAAAAAATGTTTTTGCAGAAAAAACTCATAGGCGTGTTTCTGGGGTCGAAACATACCAGCCCTAAAAATATTTGCACTTATTTAATACTCACCCGTTGATATTATGACTTTATTCTGAATTTTTATAGGAAATTACTCTATTTTTCTACAAGTAAGTCAAAGAAAAAGTGGAAAAAATGATCATACAATTTTTAGATCGTAATGTATAAGTATCAAATTTTATATGATACTTTTGATTAAACATTGTTAAGTTTAAAATAGTTTTTTGGTATAGAACCTATGTGGTTGATCTAAGTAATCTAATAATATTTATAAACATATGATTAAAAAGACAGCATTTTTTTTCAATTCTAGTCATGCTTGGAGTTTGAAGAATGACTGCGAAAGATTAGAAAACAATTTTGGTCTCCTCGATGTGTTGCCTTTGGGTAGTGGAGCCCTAGCGGGTAATCCGTTAAATATTGACCGTAAAAAATTAGCAGAAAACCTTAATTTCGCCCAGATAACCGAAAATAGTATGCAGGCAGTCAGCGATCGTGATTTTATAGGTAAACATGGAAAGTTTCTTCAAAAAAACATAGATTTAAAGTCTGTCTAACGAGGGGATCCGTAAGAGTAACATTTGTTTCTGTCATTTTAATTGACGGGTAAATTATATTTTTTGTCAAGTTTTGAATGTCATCTGTCGAAATCTTACCTTGCTCGTTGGACAGACTTAAATTGGTTTGAAAGTATTGGTATACTACAATTTTTTAATTACAATAAAAGCTACCTAAATTGGAATTTACCCGGTAAGGCATAATATGTAGTTAAATTAACTATTGTACTTTAAATCAAAATAAAACTTGATGCAAAAAGTTATACAGGGTGAGACAAAGTTAATATTGAACATTGGTCACCTTTAAAAGCATGTTACTCGTTTATTTTAAATGAGACACCCAGTATATTATTCAAATATGCAATGGAGAATTCAAGTCTCTTCAAAATACTATTAAGGTTCCCTACCCCCCAAACAAAGATTTTCCTAGATATTTTAATTTACATGATTTGATCTGAGATGGATTTGAGTAATCTTAATTATCTGAAAAAATCTAGGTGGCTGTTATATGTTTGACGTTACTTCGACATAGCTGTCTAATTAGTCCAACTTTAACAACTAGTTAGCATTTTTTGTCAGTTAAAACAAAAAAAATTCTCAGAAATTTGCCGAAAATGCAAGCATTCTACATCAGAGAGAATTGATATGATTCTATTAATTGGTGAATGCACACTACAAAATACTTAAATGCTCCTTTTGGAGCAAAAGTTTTTAACTGACTGCAGTTAACAGTTTTAACAGTTTTGTAAACACTCTGTAAACACATATGGGGATATGTTAAAGACAGTGTTTACAAAACTCGACCAGCTATTGTCGACAACATGAGAGAAATTATTGCAGCTGCTTTTCGAGGTAGAACTCCACATAATGCCTTTTAAAATAAAGATCTACTGACGCAAAATCATAAAAATTAAAATATCTAGGAAAATATTTGTCTGAGGGGTAGGCAAGCTTAATAATATTTTGAAGATATATAAATTCCCCATTTAACACCGGAAAAATATACTGCGTGTTCCATTTAAAATAAAGAAGTAACTTGGTTTTTAAGGGGACTAATGTACCATATTAATTTTGTCAAATTTCTATTTGATTTAATATACAATGGTTACTGTAATTAAATATCAGGCTATACACGGTCAACTAAAATTTAGGTAGCTGTTATCGAAATTTAAAATTTACTCTTCATTTTCACAAAATGTGAAATATGTCAAAATCCTTAGACTTTAGGTATAGGTATGCTTCTTTAACAAAATTCACCTTTATTTTTTTCCTACAATCCGAAATTCAATTAATATATAGGGTGTTCCATTAGAAAAAACACAACTTTGATGTGTAACTTTTTTGGGGACACCCTGTATAATTCTAAATATTTTTATAAAATGCTTTCAGTTAACCTACATATGCTGCCAAAATTTCATTTCGATATAAACTACCGTTCTCCTTGGATCTTCCGCGGCGTATGAGAGGCTCCACCCTGTATGTACAGGGTGGGTCAAATTCGACGCTTTTAAATGGAAACACCCTTTTCTATAGGAGATAGACAAAAACTAATATCGGTGTCTGTAGCTCAATTTTTGTCAAAAACATGATAGTGAAAGTGTTTTTCAAAAATATGCATTTTTCACAAATCGCTGTAAATTTTTTGCTACGGAAAATTTTGTATTTTTATTAAAACATTTCCAAAGCACAAAGCACCTTTTTACGTAGAATTTAATGGTTTAAATATATTTTTTAAATTAATAATTTAAGAATTATCAACAGAAAATTTGATTTTTATATGGGACACCCTGTATATTTTTAATTCATTGAAAACAATTTAAAATTACCTTTCCAAAAATATAACACACTTGATATTTTGCTCTCGATTCCTCTTCGAGATATAGAGCATATAAAAATTCGCCCGCTTTAAATAAGTAGGCTTTGAACGGCACTGTGTAACGGTTGCTGAATTAAGATGAAAATAATATTTGCTATGAGAGATGCAAAATTTTATAACAATTTAAAATATATTTAACCAACATCAACACATTTAAACTATATCTAATAACAATAAAAATAAATAGCAAACCAACACATGAGATTTTGCTGCTGGTGTTCGGCATATCGACCGTCTTCTGTTATGGACAGACGGGGCAGTTTTTGAACATTTCTCGCGGAATTCATTAACTCAGTGGGGGTGAAAGACACCCTCTCATAACTGCTAAGTATTTCTAATTCTTGTCTAGATTATACGGAAGAATAAGGAACCTTTATTCTTCCGCAAATATATTCATATGATTAGATCCATGGGCACTAAGTCAGGCGGCCTCAACGGCCAACGGCTGGGATCTTGGTTAGCTATCCAATTATTCTTGAAATTGGCTGCAAAAATTTGCTGATAACTTCAGCGTTCAGAGGCGGTGCGTCGTCTTGTTGGAAAAATATGTTTTCGAGTTCCATTAAGGGCATATCATCAATAAGGGGTCCAAAGCCTACTAGTTAAAAGCAGAGAACTTTTAAAAATTCTGTATTTCGAAGGGGATTATAACAAAATATCAAATGTGCTATATTTTTGGAAAGGTAATTTTAAATTATTTTCAGTTAATTAGAAATATAGTACATATTTTTTCGAGAGAAAAATAAAAGATTATTAAATAATCTAAACAAATTTTGTTTTAGCCGATTTTCTATTTTGGGCATCAATGGTAGGAATTCACTTAAGCAGGCTGGCCGAAGATCTCATTATTTTTAGTTCTAAAGAGTTCGAATTTGTGACCATTGCTGAAAGCTACTCGACTGGAAGTAGTTTAATGCCCCAAAAACGAAATCCCGACAGTTTGGAACTGATTAGAGGTATAGGTGGAAGTCTATTCGGACAAGTAAGAACTAAGTAACTAGTATTAGTGAATAGGTAGATAAATCACTTGCTACTGTTTTAGTGTTGCAGTTTTATGATGGTTTTGAAGAGTTTACCGTCGACGTATAATAAGGATCTTCAAAGCGACAAGGAAGCCATGTTTACGACGTTTGACAAACTACAATCAATACTTGAGGTAACTCAAATAAATAGCTGCAGAATTTAACATATTTATATTTAACCAAGCCGGGAGTATTAATACATAGTTAAATTTGTTGAACATTATCTAATTTCCCTTAGATTGTCAGCTATATGAAAGATGATATGATATTATTGACGACAGTCTCAATCAAGCTTTTGGCATAGTATAAGGAAACTAGTAGCTTGACTCCTTGTCAAATCCTTTGTTCTTTTTCTGCCACTTTATATGACCTTGTTCTAACGTCCCGTGACCACTGACGTAGCTCTATAGTCGTGGTCTATAACAAGGCAAAGTATAGTCGTGGCACTCGCCATAGTTTCCCAGAGATGTATTTAGGAAAATATGAGTTCACAATAAAATAAAATTAAAAAAATTGATCATCGAGTAAAAATTTGCTTGAAAACAGAATATTTTCACATTTCGTGTAAGTAACAATTTTTCTGTATCTGAAAATCTTCTGATGGGAAGAAATGCGGAAAAAATATATAATGGCATATTTTTAAATTATTATCTATTTCAAAGATTTTCTACAACTTTTTTTTAATTTAAAACTAGTTTAATTTTAACATTAATGTGTTTGTTTTTTTAGTAATATGGGCTAGGTGATTTTCGTTGGATAGTTGATTGAACAACATATAGTACTAATAATAAAATAACATATTTAAACTTCAATAATTGCTAATAAACGTTACAGAAATTTCAAAAGAGAAAAGAAGCAAGAACAATGAGAAATCTTCACTACTTTCACATGTAATAAAAGCATAATTTTTTAGTTATCGTTACCGAGTCCCGAAGGTACCGAAAGAACCGGGAAATAATAATTTCGAGTTCTGAACCCTAGTTACCATATTATCAAGAAGTTATGTTTTTTAACTAAAAAAATTTCCAGATTTAAAAAAAAATTGCGCAGAAAAATCCTCATATTTCTGGGGCCAAAATATACTAACCCTAAAAATATTTGCACTTATTTAAGACTCACCCTGTATAGGGCGATTCACGGTTATGGTACGTTATAGGGTTTAGGAGCCGGGGCTGTATTTCGGAACCGGTAATTTCGGTACCATGCCTCTAAGGAACCGGGATTTCCAGTTTTTTTTTCGGTACTTGCGGTACAAGCAAATTTTTGTTCAATGATGGTGCAGTTCGTTAAACTGCTAGCAAGGGATGGTTGTCAAAAGTAAAATCGATGAAAATTGAGTTTTAAATGAAAATAATTTCAAATTATTAGGTAGTAGTCGGTCATGAAAAAATTAACCTGAAAACAAACATGATCACAAATGACTCTCAAAAAAGAACTCAAAGCACAATTTTTTGAATTATTAGTACAACCAGTAGCAGCACACAGTAAAGCACTCATTTTTTGTCAATCCGTCTCTGTGCTGCGACGCAACGCTCGAACGTCGCAGGTCGTCGAACGGAACTCAACTGAAACGCTGCAATCTACCGATATTCGACAGATTGTAAAAACTGGCAGAAAATATTTGGGAGAGTGCAACTACTCTTTTCCTTCTACTATGCTTTTGGTGTGATGCATCTTCTAATGAAGTTATGAATTATATACCTATAAGATCTTTTAAATGAAAATAATTTCAAATTATTAGGTAGTAATCGGTCATGAAAAAATTAACCTGAAAACAAACATGATCACAAATGACTCTCAAAAAAGAACTCAAAGCACAATTTTTTTAATTATTAGTACAACCAATAGCAGCACACAGTAAGGAACTCATTTTTTGTCAGTCCGTCTCTCTGCTGCGACGCAACGCTCGAACGTCGCAGGTCGTCGAACGGAACTCAACTGAAACGCTGCAATCTACCGATATTCGACAGATTGTAAAAACTGGCAGAAAATATTTGGGAGAGTGCAACTACTCTTTTCCTTCTACTATGCTTTTGGTGTGATGTATCTTCTAATGAAGTTATGAATTATATACCTATAAGATCTTTCTCTCTGACCACTTTTTCTATTTTGGTGGGATTGCTACTTTCATACATTTTAATAGACATAGCTGCATTTTTTAATACCGTATAGTACTATAGATTTATTATTGGATCAAATGGTTTACGGAAAGCAATGAACAGGAATAATACTGGTCTGTTCTTAATTTACTCGACTATGTTCTCGATTAGAGATGTGTAAATTGTCAATAATAAAAATAAGTAAAAAAAGTTCGTATAAATGTATGTCCTAAAATGCTTAATTTCGGAGATACAGGGTGTAGAAATTTCATTTATATTTCGATTTTTTCCAAATAATTTCTGAAGTAAAGTCAAAACTTGGATGAAAATTGGTGTCTGGAAGTTTTTTGACAGGAGAAATTTGATTTTGGTGTCAATATGACTCCTACTTGTAGAGGGCGCCACGTACATATTTTTTAACTGGTTTGAAGAGCAATAACTTTTCATCCGTACCTGTATAAAACTACTGGGAAAAAAATATACATTTAAGACGTTTTTTTACGTAAAAAAGGTCTCTTGGTAAAAATTTCAATAATAATAACTATCTATTCAAAAACTACCGTATGATCGAAAAAAAAACGGCTTTCAGTTGGCTGGGAAATGACGATCGATAATATTTTCCATATAAATTTACATATAAAATGACAGCTTTTTTGCGTAAAAAATCACGGAAATGTATGTTTTTTCACCCAGTAGTCTTATACAGGTACAGACGAAAAGTGATTCCTCTACACAACTGTTAAACCAAACCAAACACATGTAGGTGGTGCTCACACCTGTAGGAGTCACATGACCCCACACATGTAGGAGCCATATTGACATCAAAATCAAATTTCTCATGTCAAAAAACTCCCAGATACCAAAAACTAAGCATTTTAGGACATACATTTATACGACCTACGATACTTCGGACATACATACCGACCAGAATATGCTGCCGATATTTCGGGAATATAGTTCGGACCACCCTGTATATTTTTACTCAACAGTCTGATCCTTATTAGGATCAGACTAAATTGAGAAACGTTCTAACGTTAAATATTGTTATTAGGTTACAACTGGAACCGTGAGGACATTAAAAGTAAACGACGCAAAATGTAAATCAGCTCTTAGTTTTGAAATGTTAGCTACCGATATCGCCTACTACCTAGTACGAAAATCAGTACCGTTCAGAACAGCGCACCATATCGCTGGAAAAGTGGTAGCTGAAGCGGAAAAGAAGCTAGTGAACATATGTGATTTGACTCTAGAGGAACTAAAAGAAATAAGGTAAAACCTTAAGCCTTAGGGTAAAACCGCAGCCTAATCATTAGACAGCGACAGCCAATCCAATTACAATCATTTACATGGCTCACTGACTATACCTACCTAGATATTCGCTTATCTTTATATTATATCCTTGTCATATGCAGCAAGTCGGATTCTAAGCTCCAAAACTATTGAGACTAAACTATTCAGGTTTTGACTTGCTCTGGTAAAGCGGTATTAATTATACAAAAAAATTAATAATATTATTATATAATAATAATATTACCGGATGCATTATACTCAAAAATGGCTCACCCCTATAACTTTTTTTATTTTGTCAGATAAAAAAACGAGATTTGGTATGTTGGTATATGACATAAATTAGGATTGATTGACTTCATTGATTGATCAATTTTTGTTTTCGGTCACTTCCTGTTTCACCGGAAATTACTACAACTTTTGATTTTTAAATGGCACCCTCGGTATTTTTTTTTACTCTATTCGATTTTTTTCTATTCATTTCAATAGCTTTATTTTCTTCTGAGATATTCGCTTTTGAAGAGGACACTAACAAAAACAATAAACACTATTTTATTAAGGGTGTTGATGAGGACCCAAAAGCAATGCTAAAATTACTGTAAATCTTTACTGTCTTATTCAGAAGCTCATATCTCCTAAAAAAACTAAAGCTATTGAGATGAACTAAATTACAAACTATCGAAAGTGATTCGTAATACATTCCGATACACCTAGATGATAAAATGATTTTTAAATTCATTGCTTTCTTAACATATTCCACAGGATGTTTCAAACTTTCACTAAATACCTACATGTGATATTTTTTTTTGAAAACCCATAGATGACTCATATGTAAGCTAGTAAAAAGTAAAATAGGCATTAGGAAAAACAAAAAACTCGTTTTTTTAAACTACTGAGAATGCTCCCTAATATTATACTGTAATCATAAATATAAACATCTTTATTAAAATACTAGTTGAAGCCTGGCGCATTCGCCACGACGCAGGCGACATCAGGAAAAAAAAACTTTTTATTTTTTTTTAATTAAATGAAATACAAAAAATCCGGCGACAACAGTTTTTATAAGAACCAATTAGCTATCTTTTAGTAAAAAAAGCAACTTTCTAGAGCAAGGCGTTACTTCAGTAGAGACGACACAGATAAACATTAGCATTTTATATATGTAGATATGTAGATTTCACAAAAGCTTTTTAAAACATTCCATATAATTTTGAAATCGACATAGGCAACCAAATATACCATCCAGTTATAAAAAGTTTGCAATTTGGCGAATGCGCCAGGCATCTTAATATTTTCTCTTTCTTAAAACTTAATTTTTATTTCCAGTCCCCAATTTGAAATAGATATTGGAAGAGTTTGGAATTACGAAAACAGCATTGAACAGTATCAAGCTATTGGTGGAACTGCCCGGAGTAGTGTACTGGATCAAATTTACAAATTGGATTCTTGGCTGGAGCAGAAATATCACAGGAACTGCACCAAAGAAAGTTAATTTATTTGGAAATTTAAATAAATTTTTATCAGATGTTTTTAGTTTCTTTATTTCTAACTACCTATCCTTAAATACGTAAAATTTAAATTGAAATAACCGACGTTGTGCGATAAGGACAAAAACAAATCAAAATATATTCATTATTATTCATTCTTTTTCTTTATGAAGCATGGGAATCATGATAAATGAGTCACGATGACGTCATCACATATTTCGCTGACGTAAGCTCTAGGTCAACTTGTTAGCGGGCTTACGTCATCTTGAAGGGTTGCTCGACATCTTTATAAACCCACTTTGTTTATGTAACACACATTTTTCGGCGTATATACCATAACAAAATAATTTAATTTTTTCCTTATTTGCCTGCCTGATTACTAAAAAACTGTTATTAAAATAAAATTAATACGCTTTTAAAACTAATAAGGGAAGCTGTTCTTTATTAAATGATTCGATTTGTTTGTTCAACTTGATTCAACAGATTTTGAAATGTAACATAGGCATATATCATGGGCATAAAACAGTAGCGTATTTTAGGATATAAACCAAATATTACAAATTAAAATAAGATTATAAATTATAAAATAAATGTAAAGAAATGGTTTTAAAATAAATAATAATTTAACCCTGAATGTAATACGCTTCGGTCTACGTCGCATATTTTCGACGAATACTCGGCATATCCAACGCCACTGCTGCTAGCCAAACATAGGCGGCTGCGGGTCTTGCGACGTAAGGAGAGTGGTCGGAATCGCGCTTCCGACCGCCATGATTGTGACGCGCACTCGTGTTTAGTGTTCGTTCAGTGACGACCGCCCAGAAATTTTGACGTGGCTACTACGTATACCCAGTTCACCCACTCCGATTGCAGCAAACTTGTGACGAGGAATACGTAAGTGGTAAGTGCCCAGCTGAAGAATAATAACATTCTGACATAGCCCAGGCAACCCTTCTCGTTCATCCATACGATATGTTTCGAGTTTTAGTGCTTCGATCGACATGTCGTCAAATAGTATTTCGGCTTTACTCGAAAAGGTGATGAATAATGGTGGCATATCGTTAACTCGGTTTTAATTTTAGAGCGAGTAAGGAAATCTCGGTTTCCATCCGTGTAGGACGTTTTGCCGCGACACATGACAAGGAACAGTTTTCGTCACATCGGTTAAATGTGTTGGTTTACTACTGTTCGCCGATTAGGATTGGATATGATTAAACGGTCGTACCGTTGCGGTTAGTGTTGCGAAAAATTATCTCATTCTATTTTAACTATTCGGTTTTTTGTGCGTATTTTACGTGGCGATAATATCATTGTAAACATTTACGTCATCCCGGGTTACTTTTATATATTATTTGTTGATTTTAATTGTCTATAAATCAGAAACATTGCGTTCTTTAAATCATCAACTTTATATCAGAAAATAAAGTGCTACACTACACACAAATATTGTTTTTCTTTTACTAACATGACCTTGTTCTAAAAGCACTATATGTAGTTTGTTATTGTAATTGTACTTTGATATATTTATTGGCTAAACGGGAAGGAGTGTCCATAGATAGCAATAATTATATTTCTATTTTTACAATAAAATAGAGCTTTTCTTCTACCATATTCAGAATTACCTAAAAGGATAATTTAAATATTATTAAAGACAAAAGCATATTTGTATTAATAGAATATGAATGACTTGCACTATTTAAACGATAACATTATGTTTGGATATGTTTATGAAGGAAAAATATTTTAGGTGTGGAGGACCCTAAAGGATGGATGTGATTGAGGAAAATGGTGATCCATTGTCTACGGAACCAGAGAGCCCTATAGCATCTTCGGTAAAGACCACTAATTTGAAATCTTCCCTGGTGACGGCTACTAACATTATTCAGCTTACCATCCCTCAGGGGCAAACGCAGGTAGGGGTCCGATACCCCAACTGCGAGCAATAACTTTTTATCATTATCTAGTTTTTTTTAAATATGTTTGCCCTTGAATTGCTAAGTTGCAAATATGTTTTTTTTCATTTGTTTATATCGCATTTTCTGAAATGTTTGAAGTAAGGAATGACTAAGCATGCATAAATAGTCACTGATAATTTTTCAGCACAATTATCCAAGGTAGATTCCTTAATGCTTAATTATTTTAGCTATGGTAGTGAATTTCTAGTTATGTTTCAAGCATTAAGCTGAAGTTTTGTCAAGCTTTCTGCACTGGCTAATATGTTCAAATGGTTCTTATTAAAATTAAATAAGTAGTAAGTTAAAGCTAGGTCTTTTCCTGAGCCATGCAAATCATTCTCAAATTACTGTTAATTACTAAACACAAAGGATAAAGGATCTTTAGTCAGTGATTTAGATTTTAACAATGATAAGGATACCGTAATTGATATGGATCTGATTTGTTTCATCAATGATGTTTTGCTGGATTACACTTTTCATAGAGAATATAATTTAGGATATTTTTGATAGATCCATGTAGAGGAAAATCATAATAGACTTGTCAGATTGTAACATAGTTTGTAATTGTTATGTTCGTTTAAACCAGGACCGTATTATTTTAAGTTTTCGATTAGTTTATGTATTTGTGTATCTCTAATAACTCAACAAATTTATGTAGACCATTTAAGTGCTTGAACAATTTGCTTTTTTTAAGGAGTACTTTAAAAAGTTTCAAATATAATGGGCAACTTTTATTCTTCATTTTCAAAATTTACATGGTATGTCCTATGTTCAGCGATGGATACTTTAATAGTACCAATTTTACCACACTTAAATAATTCATGACTTTATCATATAAATTATAATATTTTCTAGTTGAGATATTCCTGGATCTAATAGAGAAGATATTAGCATTAAAAATAATTTAAAACAGCCCAAGCAATCATTTTGAATATTATTGCAGCAACATTTAAATTAGACTAATCAATTAATATTAGTCAATCTGCAACAGTTCTAATATTTCATGTAATATTCCCACGCTAACAACAATTCACCAATTCTATTGGTTTGCAAGCTCAATTCAATTTTTATTACCTGCTCATTTATAACCATGCTTACACACTTTAAGAACTGGCAACAGTGCATTTATTTGTCCCATTATTTATTCCTCTGTCCGTCGTTGTAGTTGTAATATAAGTAAAGGATATTTTAATCTTCATTTTCCTCATTGAAATATGTCATATGATTTCCCCATATAATTTTACATATAAAATGACAACAATCTTCATTTCATAGCCATCGCTGACGCCGTTTTTTTTTAAGATTTAGAACAAACCCTGGAAGTTTAAGGACACAGTGCTTTAAATGAAAATATATGATAAATAATTATCAAAAATCTACAGGGTGTTTTCTAAACAGTCTAAAAAATTTCTACCTACGACTAATCAACTACGATACATATATGTATCTATTTAGTTTTTTTAATTGATTCTTAAAAAGTTTAATTTCTATATTTTTCTATACCTAATTGACATTTACAGGCCGGCCCGAAAGAATTTGAATTTATCATCGTTATCGTTACCGTTTTTCAGAAAAACGGAAAATTATTTCAACATTGAATTTTTCTTTATTTCGGCCCTATAAAGTAATAATTTCACTATATTTTCCTTATATTATAGTTTATCTAAAAGCCACACTTGATTGGGGATAGAAAAATGTCCAAAATTTTACTGAAAAACACTTTTCTTAACAAAATAACAAAGAAAATTGAGACCAGATGGAAGTTTGACATTTGATATATCCTTCTTTCTCTCTCCTATGTAATGAGAGAGACAAATATATTCTAGACCTAATCTAGAAATTTGAAAATTTACAACGTTGCCATTCCTTCTATTTTTTCGGGTGATTAGGGATTTTAAATAAATGTAAAGCATTACATGTCAGGACAAAAAACATTTTTAGATTAAGAATCTAGTGATAATAACGATAATAATAATCATCTAGATAATAACGTATTGCAGTAGAGTAATATCAAATAAAATAATATTAGGAACATCCTAAAAAGCAACAGCGGCCGACTAGATTTTTTCCTAAAAAATACAAGAGATAAAAAAGTTTCTAAACAAACTAAACTATCAAATTAATTTTTTTGCATGTGTTTGATAAGAGATTTTTCTTTAAATTTCGTTAACAAGAATGATAGGGGTAGTTTATTTCAACCCCTTCCACTCATTTTAAAAAATTGAAATCGTTACCAGTTAGTGTTTTTCAGAAACACGGAAAATTATTTCAACATTGAATTTTCTATCTATTTCGGCCCTATAGAAAAAATAAAAACATTATTTTCCGCCCTTATATTATAGTTTATCTCCCCTAGCCACACTTGATTGGGGATAGAAAAAATGTCCAAAATTTTACAAAAAACACTTTTTTTAACAAAATAACAAAGAAAATTGAGACCAGATGGAAGTTTGACATTTGAAGCATCCTGTATTTCTCATTCCTATGTAATTTAATTTTTTGACATAGATAGCTAGATGTCTAATTTAGAAATTTGAAAAGTTACAACGTTGCCATTCCTTCTATTTTTTCGGGTGATTACATATTTTGACAATAAATGTTTTTCTCCAAAAATTATAAATATTTTTTTTTCTCAAAACGGTTAACGTTAGGTATAGAGTGTTTAATATAAAAATTCATAAAATTTTACAGAGAATTTAAGTATGTAATAAAAATGGGGCCGCCCATTTAAAATAGAAAGTTGCATGTGAAACTATAAATTCTAGTTTTCTAGAAACTTGTAACGCAGGCTCAGCCTGGGACACCCTGTATAAATACTTGAATTTTGTCAAACATTATACATACGTCATTCAATTTTTACAAAATGTGCATTAGGAGTATATCATTATCTAAACAGACCGGGGGGCCACATTTAGCTTCGCCGCCCCAGGCCCCCGACAGGCTTAGGGCTCAACACACTGACGACCAGGTCGCACCGGCCAGGCCGCAGCTACCTCTAAAACCATTAAATCAAATGATATAGCGCACACTAACGTCCTTTATCGACCGTTGAAGACCAGTTGCGACCAGAGACTGCACGGAAATATTATTATTTTCTGCCGCTTGTTGAGTTTTCTTCCAAATTAATAATTTTCAGATGAAATCCTTCAAATTCAACGCACAATATTTTATTTTTTCTATGAGTTTGATAAGATTTTTCTTTAAATTTCGTTAACAAGTGCATGAAAGGGGTAGTTTATTTCAACCCCTTCCACTCATTTTAAAAAAGTGAAAAAATTACCAGAAAGTGTGTTTTCATAACAGTAATGCTTCCATCTAATCCCTTTTTTTTTATCAAGGGTCGATTCTAGTAAAAACTATAAAACATTTTTTATATGACATACCTACTCTATTTATGGTTATGATACCTGTTATTTGACTTTGAGTTTCGATGTTTAAAAAAAAAAAAAATAATATTTGAAAAGTTTTCTACAACCACTTGTTTTTTTTTATTAAATTAGTTTTTAGTTGTATATGTAGTCATTACGGACAACTGTATTTTTAAATAGATATTTACATTTAACGTTTTTCAAACAGGGTTCATTAGACTATATTTCTAAATTTGTACGTTTAGGCTATATAAAAATTTTGACAGGCAGTTTTTTTTCTCCAAAAATATAAATAATTTTGTTCTAGAAACGGTTAACGTTATATTGTAAACATGTGAAATAACTGGAAGCTAAACTTTTACCTGCTTATATTTAGAGCCAGTGTTTGACGATCTGTTTTTACGATGGCCCTAATATGTTTACTTCTAAAGTCGATAAGGGCGCCATATCAGTAGAAAAAAGAAACAGAATATCTACCTTTTTAATCGATAGATCTTATTGTGAAATTATAAATTATAGTTTTCTAAAAACTTGTAACGCAGGTTCAGCCTGGGACACCCTGTATAAATACTTGAATTTTGTCAACCATTATACATACGTCATTCAATTTTTACAAAATGTGCATTAGGAGTATATCATTATCTAAACAGACCGGGGCCACATTTAGTCCGCCACTGTTTGTACCTACACTGAAAAAACTGTCTGGAGTTTTATTGAAAATCCCTCAAAACGGGCGTTAAATATTTTACACCGATTAAACCAATGTAATCCAAAATCGGTTCACGCAGATATAGACAAACACAATATACAGAGCGACATAGCACGTAGCAACGAGCGTAGCGACGCGACGGTACTTGTATTGTGGGGGGGAGCTGACCAGTTTAATTTACCAACTCTGGGCATTACCTATTGTACAGGGGAGGATTTTTGTGTCTCTTCCACATGAGCAGAAACAACTTTGAAGTGCTTTTTCATTTTCCATTTAGGACTGTAATCCCAACTCTATCCATTGAAAGACCATTGGGTGGGGCGTTTACACCCAAACCCCTCTATACAGGGTGGCGCACCTCATTCACCTCGGTTGATTATACGAAAACGGAAAGATGTAGAAACAAAATATTTTATGGGTATATGTGGAGAGACAATGTGCACAATTTAAAATTATTTTGAAATATACAGGGTGTTTCAGAACTAAGATCCATACCAAAGTTATATTTTTTCTTATGGAACACCCGGTATTTTATTTAATTTTTGGATTCTTGGGCCCAAAAAAAGGCATATATTATAAGAGTTTAATATGTTTAAAACCTTTGGTTTTTGAGATATTTAAAGATATTTAAATATGTATACTACAATAGAATAGATTACTATCACCCTGTACATTACTTTTCAGAATTAGTTCTTGTGCTGAGTTCAAAGATGGGAAAATAAACTTTAGTGAAAAATGTTATTGCTTCTTTAAATGTAGTATACAGGGGTACCAAAAATGGCAAAAATTGCTGATCTATT